ACATGTTTAGTAAGCTCTGCTTTGGAGGAAGATACAGACACTGCAGGGTGATGCTGACAGTGAGATCTACTTAGACAAGATGTCCGGCTGCTCGCACTTCACTGTGACCAGGAAAGCCGACTCAGGACTGTCTGATTAGCATTTATGATGCACTGCACTTCTGCAGTGAGAAAGGCTCTCTGAATATTACAGAGCCTTGCTGTGGTATATAAAAATTATTCTGATCCTGTCTTTTCCGATTGCACATGAAAGTACTGGCGCTGTGATACCCAAGGGAAAGCAAGTGTGTTAGCTGTACCTTACAGCTTTTACAGGACCCACGTTACAATTCTCACCAGAGGTTTTTGTTGTTGTTTGCCTAGGTATTTCTCAAGGATTTCCTTTGAATTCTCTTTGAATTTCTGTGGGTCACAGCATCTCTGTACACAGCACTAATATCCTTTGAGTGACAATGTGGCCTCTGCTCTCTGTTGTCAGCTGTTTCTCCACTGATCTCTCCATAATTCTTCAGCCTGAGTTCTTTACAGATAGAACACCTGAACACTGCTGAAAGAGCCAAGAGTTCCTAAGAAACACACTATGTGTGGTCAGTGACACCGATCAATGGCTTTTATGTTGACCATGATGGAGATGACCCATATGCTAATGACCAAGCAAAGTATATGTTCTTCATGTATACAAGGCACCTCACCATGTCCTGAACATCAAGCTTAGTAGTTACCCGTCATGTCCATTGTGAGAGATTCATAGGTACGCTCATGCTCCAGGTGACAGGAGATGCTGGTGAGGGAGCAGAACAGGGTGCATCTGTCCAGCCACATCATCATAGTCACCAAAGCATCACAGCACTAGAGTCAGCACAGTGTTTTCCTTGTTACACCTTCCATTTTCTGCTGACCACTGGTTCAAGGACATGGACACAAGCATTTTCATTATGTCCTGGCGCACTGTTGGAACCAAGCATCACAGGATGGTCCTGATGGGGAAATGCCCAATCCGAGAAGTGAGTGCTTCCTTGATCAGGGTGGAACAGGGATCCTAGAGTGCAAGTTTGTTCCTGAAGGACAATCAGCCCTTGGGATTGGTTCTAAGAAGTCCTGATGGGAAGTTTTTGATGTGATACTCATTTCTCTTGGCCATTTCTCACTCCATATATTTCTTATTCTCCTAACTTGCCACTTTACCTTCCGTGCTCACTTGTGGTGGGATCTGAGTGAGAATTCTTTCAGAACATTCTCCATAGATTTATGTGATTATGTTCAGAACCTCAAGTTATCCATGCAGTTTGATTTCTCTAGTGTGGAAAAGACAATTTCTGGCTTGGTGTTGTGTCAGCACAGTAACGCCTCACGCTGTGCTGAGCAGGGTCTTGTAATGGGGTGCTGCCATTGATGGCACACACCGCTTGTCAGGTTGATTGACAGTGGACATGGCATGGAAACAGTTTCCACAACCTGCCCTTCCTACATCCTCTTGCATCATTCAAGTTAATTGAAGGTGTGAAAAACGCACCCTGCCTGTTTTCCACATCATTCACAATTGACAGTGTGAAAATTACTCTGGAGGTTCCACGGACCTGGCCCCTCCTGCCTCCTATTGCGTTACATTAGACTAGTTAACTACAGGAAAACTTTTGGCTCTGGTAACTCCCTTCCTGCCGGAAACTTTGTACTGCATGGCTCTCAATCTGATTTTAGAATGAGAGCTTAAAAACCCCTGACTTTCACTGTTCACTCAGTGTAGTGGCTCCTGGAGTGTAGCAGCAGCTGCTCTCACCAAGCCTGGGAAATAAAGCCTCCTGCTAACATCCTGCACTCGGGTCCAGTGTGATATCTTTCATACTCTGCGAAAGGGTCCTAGCTCACCCTGCAGATGCTAACAGCTGTGTGCTGTCCTGGGCTCCTCCATCCTGTGTTCTGCTTCTCAGGAGTGTGTGTGAGGAAACAGCCAGGAGAACCTGCTAAGTGCAAATTTTTATACTCATGTATGAATCATTCATGATTTTTAAAAAAGAATTTTCACAATAAAATATCAACATGCAAATCATTTTAGCTCTATTTCTTTCTTTCCCTTATAATATGTCCATAAGGGTATAAAATGTAGATATCGGACACGTCTTTGTAGGAGAGCAGCTGTGAGATCTCACACTGTGGGGACGGCTGGGTGAGTGCACGTCCGTCTTCAGTCCTCTCTCCTAATCCTGCTGGGAGACTCTCTGTGGGTGCCCCTTAATGTGTCCCAATATGTTCTTTTCCTTATTCTATATTCTGAGGGGGAAAAAAAATGAACTGTCTTCTAGCTTCATTCAGGCAATTTTCCCTAAAGAAGAAAAGACTTTAACAGTGGTTTGGAAGACTGATCCAAATAAATGTTGTTTCCTGATAGGACCCCAAGGTGTGGTTATCGCCCCGAGAACACCCCGAGAAACACCGAACACGTGTAACCCCAGTCACAGCTGACCACTAATGAGACAAACCACTGGGTAAGTCTTGTACTATTATGTGCTTGCACTTATAAAATTCAATTTTATTTTAAAATATGAATTAAAATAGATTACACTAACTCTACTTCAAAAAGTTCAAATAAACTTGTCTTAATTCCATGTTATTTAAGCAAAATAAAATATCTTGATATATACTTTGTTTTCCTTTCATGGAAAACAAAAAATCTAAATACAAAAAAAATCTGAATAGAGTTCAACCTTTAAAAATTAAGAACCTCTGATTTGTGCAATCCCTACAGATTTCAAATAGCAAAAGAGAAATCATTACATTTCAAATAAATAAAATATTGTATTTCATTTTTATTTCAACCTTTCACAACGCTACATTAAAATGTTACTTTATATCTAATAATATATTTGCAGTGTATTTTTTGTAACTTAGGTGAAGCAGTGGCACAGTAACTATGTGAGGGATATTTCAAGACCAGATAACACACGTAGAGGACTATTCAGAGTTGCACAGCCATCGGGGCACAAGACTGGAAGCAGTTAGATGCAGGTGAATGACAAGGCAAGTACGTTTCCTCTTCTGAGCATTTCATGGTATCCAAAGTAATTGCACTAAATACATGAATTGAGAAGACTTTGTTCCTTGTGTGATCAACACTTTAGAGACGTTTAACTGGGAAACTTAGGGTTAGGGATCTATTTGTTGAATATTATGGCTACTGGTACATTAAGCATGTAATTACAGAGTGAACTGTATGTCTTTTAAAAAATAAAGCCAAAGAGAAAGTAAGGATTGTGATTGAAGGACAGAGCAAGGATAGGAAAAAAGTCTGGTAAATATCTTAAGTTATACTTATGAAATGTATGAAACGTATTCTCATTACATTAATGCAAATTTTTAAATGCTTGTATGGTATTCCTGCTCTAGAGAAACTGTATATTTTCCCAAGATTTAGGCCAATTTCCCACATAGTCTCTGTGTTTTAAATGCTAAGCAGCAACGGGGTAAAACGGTTCAGCTTCTCCTTGGCAACTTATGTTACAGAATCACAATACTCTCATCTGTTGTGGTTGAACTTCTGCCTGACATGCCGATTTTCATGATAAACATGTAAGGATATCACACTTGGGACTTTTTAGACCCTACTAGAGGCCTTGTATTTGTAAGCTGTGATTGATACACAGAGGAAGCATCTCATGATGGGTCATAACCGAGTCCTTCAGCACAAATTCAGCACTCAGGCCCCATGCACCCCTGACTTGAGCAAGACATGGGGCTTAGGGCTCCTTGGAGATCCACCTGCTTGGAGAAGGATGACAAGGTTTCCCACGTTTATTTCCATAGAACAGAAAAATCCATCTATAAAGGCTTAAGGTTCACTAAGACTACTACTTGCTAAGAATGGGAAGAACAGAAACTGCTGCACAGAGGATATTTAAAGCCTGGTGCTGTGGTCTGCACGTCCCTGGCTCCTCAGGCAGGGGGACAGAGCCTGGTGCTGTGGTCTGCACGTCCCTGGCTCCTCAGGCAGGAGGACAGAGCCTGCTGCTGTGGTCTGCACATCCCTGGCTCCTCAGGCAGGGGCAGAGCTGGCAATCATGAAAGGACTGCCCTCTCTCAGGGATCCTCATGATAAAGACATCATCACATCAATGGCTGCATCTCGTATAGACCACTGTCTTCCAGAAACCATAGGTATTTCACACATTGCCCTAGTATCCCTGCACACATAAAGCTATTGTACTCACCCATATTTACAGGTAGGATGACTGAGTTCCACATGGTGACAACTGAAGGTCACACATTTAGTAATTGTCAGATCAGACAACTAAACTAATAGTACATACTGACCAACATTTGTCTTTTATTTTTCCAGTTGTGAACACGGAAAAGACAAAGGAGGAGTAGGAGGGGACTACAGGAGGTGGGGGAGAGGGTGGGGAATTTCACTGTGCTCGTAAGCCTGTATTGTGAAACGTGAGAAATATGACCACTTTATATGAACAAGGGAAAACAAGTAAAAACAAAAATCTTCAAGTAACAGTGAAAGACAGGAAATCTATGCAAGTTAATACACCCTTGACACTTAACTAAAATTGGAGGTCAAATTTCTGTGTTCCTAAAATTCTGACTTGAATTCATCAGAGTAATACTACCCGTACTGTGCATCCAGAAATGCACCAAAGAGTTTGCTGATATAGTAGAAAATAGCTCATCCATGGTATCCCTGATTTTGCAAAAAACAAAAACAAAAACTATAAGGGACATAAAGCTCAGGAAACAATTTTCATGTGATAGAAATATTCCTGTCCAGGCCTTGTGGGTGGATTGTCCACCCACGACTGGTAGGCATGATGCTATGAAGTCAGTGGATTCTGCACACATGTTAGCTTGACTACCACACTTTCATGGGTAAAGGGTACATTGAGCTTCATCCAGTATCTTCCTAAATACTTGGGGTAGAGACTGCTAAAAGTCAGAATATTCTGATTTTTTTCCCACTTTTTTCCCTCATATATTTAACTACAGGCTTGTGTCCCCTAAACGATGAATGCAAGCAATGAACTTTCCAACTTGACTGCAGTACGAAATGGATTTTTCTTAGAAATCGGCATGGGGATCCCAGCCAATGCCATCCTCCTGCTTTTCCACATCCTCATGTTCTTGCTAAAGCACAGACCCAAGCCCATCGACCTGACCATCGGGCACTTGGCCTTCATCCACCTGGTGATGTTGGTCATAACAGGGGTCATAGCCACAGACATGTCTGAGTCTCAAAATCTATGGAATGATGTCTCATGTAAGGCTGTCATCTACTTCTACCAGGTGCTGCGGGGCCTCTCCCTGTGCAACACCTCCCTGCTCAGTGTCCTCCAGGCCATCACCCTCAGCCCCAGGAGCTCCTGGTTGGCCAAATTCAAACAAACATCCTCCTCCCTTCACAGCCTGTGTGTCTTTGTCCTCCTATGGGTCTTCAATTTGTTCCTTAGTCCTCGCTTCTTTAACTCCTTTGTTGTCACCAGTAATTGTACATCCGGGAGCCTTTTGTTTGCCACTAAATTCTGTTCTGTTTGGCCACTGGGATATTTGCCCAAGCACACATTATCCATGTTGTGGATCTTCCGGGATGTGTCCCTCACAGGGCTCATGGCCCTCTCCAGTGCCTACATGGTGACCCTCCTGTGCAGGCACAAGAGGCAGTGCCAGCACCTTCACGGCACCAGCCTTTCTCCAAGAGCCTCCCCAGAGCTGAGGGCCACCCGTACCATCCTGTTGCTCATGAGCATGTTTGTTCTGATGTACATGATGGATTGTATTATGTACTCCCTCTCAGAAATGTTGTGGAACAGCAACCTACTGCGTCTGTGTGCCCAGATATTGCTGGGCAATGGCTATGCCACCATTGGTCCCTTGGTGTTAATTACCAGTGAAAAACGAATAATCACCTTATTCAAATCTATATGCAAAAGATTGTTTAATTGTGTAGGAAAAAAATCACATAATCTTAGCTGATGAAAGTTGTACTTCAACAGGATTCATGATTGCCTGCACAATAATGCTCCTGGGGTCACTGAAACTTAAGGTTTTTGTTTTTTTTTTTTCAGTTAAACTATTCACTTGTGTGTGTGTTGACAAGTAAATGATACAGCTTTTTATCCTACACTGTTGAGAAAACCCAAGGGTTGAATTCAAATAAGACACATAACAACTAGAGCTTACACTGACTATCAAGCTTGAACGGATTCAAAACTGATGATGATGTTTGGGAATGGATGTGGAGTCTGGAAAGATGAGGGAATGGATCCTAAAGAGACCCAGGGAGCACCAGGGAGGTGAATGCGGTTACAGTGTCACCCGGGGATATATGCAGAGAGCTAGCATTCATATGCTTTAAGTATGTACACTTCACTGATGTCATCCACACCTCAGGAAAGCAGTTACTACAAAAGAACATCATAACAGACACACAACCTGCAAAGAGATGGACTTAGTCATGCCAATGTATCACAAAGAAAATGCATAACTGAAAAATCCACTAATCCTATCAAGTGTTCATGAACATACATTCATTGTATTCATACTGGTCTGTTTCACATTGCATTAAAAATGTTCTGGGGCCTGTGCTTTAGCTTAGCAGGTTAGGCCACTGTCTACAATGCCAAGCATCTCATATGCATGCTAGTTCGAATCCTGGTTGCCACACTTCTAATCCAACTCTCTGCTGATGTGCCTGGTAAGGATGCGTAAGACGGTGCTTGGACCCCTGCTCCATATGGGCAACCAAGAACAACATCCTGGGTTCTGCCTTTGGCCTGGCCCCATCCAGTCCCTGCATTGATTTGGAGAGTGACCAGCTGATGGAAGATCACTTTACCTTTTTTTTTCTCTCTCTCTCCATAACCATGCCTTTCAGATAAATAAACACATCTTTTTAAAATTTCCCAAGGCTGGGTGGTTTATGAAGAAAATGGGATTTTGTAGCTCATGGGTTTGAGAGTTGAAGCAATGGTGAAGGCCTCATGGTGCTTGGCAGCACAGTGGTAGGAGTGCACACAGGAAGTAGAGACAATGCTGTGAGACAGGGAGAGTTCTGAAATTTCCTTACCACTCACTTAGGAAAATACCCTCAGACACCCTTCCAAGGGCAGCACCCACAGTGACCCAGACCCCACCTCTTAGAAGTCCAATCAGTTCATCACGTCCACACAAGGTTCCAACACATGCCCCTGGGGGGCAAACTTCCATCACATCAAAGCACAGCTTCCTCACCTTGAATGCGCCAGGATCCCATATGGGTACCAATTCTAATCCTGGCACCCCACTTCCCATCCAGCTCCCTGCTTGTGGCCTGGGAAAGCAGCTGAGCACGGACAAAAGCCTTGGGACCCTGTACCCATGTGGGAAACCTGGAGGAAGTTCTGGCTCCTGGCTTTGGATCAGCTCATCTCTGGCCACTTGGGGAGTGAATCATCAGATGGAAGATCTTCATCTCTGTCTCTCTCTATATATATATCTGACTTTGCAATAAAAATAAATCTTAAAAAAGAACATAATAAATGTAATTTAACAGAATTAGGAGTGAGGCAAAGATATGTGTTCTTACCACTGTTACTCAAGGTAGAGTTCAAAGTATTAGCCAGCACAGCAGGGCAAGAAAATACAATACAAGGCAAATAGACCAAATGGGAAGAAATAAAACTGTCCTTACTTGCACATGACGTAAAGTTTATGTACAAACTTCCAAAAACATCCCCCTACACCAGTACAGAAATGTTTATATTCAACCAGATTGCAAGACCGAAAATAAAGTCAGCTGGTTTTCTCTATCAATGAATGTGTGTGCAGTTATTAAATTACAGTGCCATTTGCAGCCACTCAAAAAACAAAGTACCTTAGATGTTAACTTAAGCATATACAGACCTGAAAAGTATTTGTAGAAAAATTACAAAGCAATGATTAAACATATCAAAAGATCTATATACGCAGAGAGACAATGAGGATGCTTGAAGTTTCTAGAAGGTGAGATTCAGTGCCCAGGGGAACTCTCCTCAAAGGAGAGATGTATTAAAATACTGGATTTCAAATTCTCACACCAAAATAAACTGATTTTTACTTCCATTTCCACTAATATTTTGAAGTACATTCATATTCACAGGGTTATTTAACTTGCATACTTCAAGTGATATATGAAATGCTGTTAGTTGAGGTTGATGGTTTTGAGGAATTAGTCCACTTAATCTGTCACTAAACTTCTGACGATTTATAATATTCCATTACTATCTTTGGTATCTGCAGGTATGAAGTGATGTTCTTTGCTTAATTCTTGACATTGACAATCCATGACTTTTTCCTTATAACTGCTATAGATTTATCAATTTTATTACTCCTTTTGACAGAATCATATTTTTGCTTACTTGATTTAGTTTTTTCTACTGTCACTAGTATTTGCATTGTTCTCATTCCTTAGAATTTTGAGGGTTTATATGCTTATTTTCTCTTAGTTTTCTTATCCTGACATGGAAACTTAAATTATTGATCTTAGATCTTTCTGATGTAAATATCTAATGCTATAAATTTTCTCTTCCCATTGCTTTTGCTGTATATTGAAAATGTTATCTTGTATTTGCATTTTCTTAGGATCAATGTTAATACTGTTGTATATAATTAAGATTATGTTCACAGATGAATGAAAAATCGCAGTATATGTATGCATGTGTATATATAATAACTAATATCACTTAACTGTAAAGAAAAAGTGATTCTACCATTTTGAATGACACTGATGAAATTAGAGGGTGCTGAATCAGGTCTAATAAGCCACACGAAAAAGAGGGGGCCTCAGCTGTAGGCAATGGTTTAGGTTGCATTGTACCTAGGCAAGTGTTACACTGCTGGGAGAAAAGCAGCTAATAGCTGGCAAGCATCCTGGCCCTGCTTAATGCCAGGTTTATGTCAACTCTACTAGTATGCCAACATTGTTACCTATTTTTTTTTTAAGATATGTGAGGGCAGACAACACATGCCAACAGATAGGGTCGGGGACCCATGTATGAGTGTGTACTGACCCTGGGTAGGCAGGCAGGGCCCCAGAATGGCATAGTATACCACCAGACGACCAGGCACGGGGGTTGGTGGGGCTTGTGGATTGCTCAGGAGGCGGGTGTGGGGATGTGTGGAGGGGAGGGCTGCTGAGAGAATGTGACAGCTGAGGAATGACATCTGGGGAACCTCTACCAACCTGCCTCAGAAACCCGTCAGAGAATTGCCCAAAATATCAAGCAACAAAGTTTAATATACAACTCAACAAATCCACCGCTAGGCATATACTCACAGGAACTGAAATCTTCAAACAAAATGTGTCTGTGGAAGATCCGAATAGGGATTTTAAAAAGAATGAGGAAGAAAAAACTGGCTCCGTAGATCCAGAAATGGTCTCTGACAAATGCAACATGTTTAGTATGAAGAAACAAAACACTCAACAAGCTTGGAGTAGGATGGAACTCAACTGACAAAGGACATATACAAGAGAAACCACAGTTAATATCCTACTTGTCAGAAACTGAAAGATGTCCCTGTAATATCGTTAAAACAAATGAGACAATGATGTTCATTCTGGGTACTTCTCCTTAAGTACACTGTACTTCAAGTCCTAGACTGGATATTTATACAAGGCAAAGAAACCAAATTTAACCAGACTGCAAAGGACTCAGCATTTTCCCGAATCAATGGAGCTACCTAAACTTGGAGCATGAATCTTAAAATTATAACCTTGAAACTAACATCTTTCCCTTCTGAAAAGCCCCTCTCATGAATTGTAAAAATGAAAAGCTGCTAACGCACTCCAATCGCCACCACACAGGCTACAGGATGGTCACTGTTGTAACCCACCCCGTCCCACAGCACAGAACCCCATGCACACAGCCATCCTTGGGACCCAATTGAAATGCAGCGGGGTAATAAAAACCACTTCAATTCGACACATCCAACTAGACCCATGAGTGACATGAGCCCATTGCCTTACCCTCCGCTACATGGGGCAGTTTGGTTTATGACAGCAAAGATTCTACACCTACAACTTTAGAACCTGGGTTGGTGACCTCTTTGGTTTTTGAGCCATCCCCTTGTAATTGCTACCTTATAATTATAAGTTGTCTGCCTTCATCCCCGGCTAAGAGGCTTTCCTCCCTTCTCTCCACAGAGCTTGAAATCTGAAACTAAGAGCTTGAACATCATGCAGTCCATGAGCAAGGCCACTCAGAAATCAGATGCAGCTTGAGGGAGTAGCTGCAGGGACAAGGACACCTTCACGGTACAGAGAGGCCCTCGCAGCCACAGGGGATGTCAGGGGTCTCTCAGCCCAGAGTGCTGGAAGTAAAGTGCTCTCAGGATAAAATCAAGAGAACATGGTGCTATCTGCTGGGCCAGGCAGCCTCTGACCCTCACACACATCAGGGAACTCAGAGGAAAGTTTGAGCACAGCCCTCCCCAGATGGCTGCTATCCATGAGAGAATAAAAGAAGGAAGAGAAAAGTGACATGTTCTACTGGGGGACTCCATGTTCTCTGCTCCCCAGCGGCATTTTGTTGCCTGTTTTAGACATCAAAATGCCATCCACAGAGAGATGAGCTCAGGACAGCCTTCCCTTAAAACTCTGCAGGTTCCTCCCAGGTGCATGGAATCCCGCACCTGTGCTCCTGGTAAGTGGCTCTTTATTCCAGAGATGGGGAGTTGGGGGGTGGTAGGATCTAGGCATGTGAGAAGAGGCAAATTGAGGCTAGAGTGAGGTTTGCAGTACCCGCAGAAGAAATAAAGCCTCCGAAAGTCGTCCATGGCTCAGGGGTGTTCTCTCTATTACACAATGGGAAGATTATCTTTCTAGGATATTTGATCTTTTAATTTGGCAACACAAAGAAGTCATTTTTTCATTAATTGTTATAAAACAATTAACTTCAGTTTCTCATTCACATTGGAGGATTAGATAATCATTTGCTTGTCATATCAACTATGAAAGC